CAGTTTAACACCACTACCCTACTTGTCTGTGAGTTCTTCTGAGCTTTCTTTTATTTTTTTCTGTGTATTTTATGTTTCATTAATCTTTATTTTTTTACTTTCCCTCTTTCCAAGCTTCCTTCCTTCCTTCCTTCCTTCCTTCCTTCCTTCCTTCCTTCCTTCCTTCCTTCCTTCCTTCCTTCCTTCCTTCCTTCCTTCCTTTCTCTTCCTTTCTCTTTTTCTCTCTTTCTCTCTTTCTCTCTCTCTTCCCTATCACTTTGACCTATGCCCTACAACTTTTTCTAAAATAAAAGTCATTCCTCATAAGAAATAAGCATAGTCAAGCAAAAAAAAAAATCACATTGTCATCATGTCTGATAATGTACATCTAACTCTGCATTTACACTCCTCTCTACTATTAGAAAACATACTTCACCATAGTTAATTCTCTGAACTCCTGACTAGTCATTGTATTGACCAGATTTCTTAAGTCTTTCAAAGTAGTTCACCCTTTATAATGCTGTAGATATTGTTTGAATTGTTTTTTTCTTTTTTCTTTCTGTTTTTGCTCACTTCACTCTGCATTAATCTGTTCAAGTCTTCTCAGGTTTCTCTGAATGCACTCTGACCTTTAAAAAACACACACGATAATATCCTGCTATATTAATCCAACACTCCCCAAATGACGGGTATCTACCTACCACTTTGTTTCAAGTTCTTTGTTAAGCACAAAAAGTACTGCTATAAATATTTTTGTAGGGGCAGTTCAAACCCAGCCTCAGACACATAACACTCACTAGCTGTGTGACTCTGGGCAAGTCACAACCCCAATTGCCTCATCGAAAAATAAATAAGTAAAAATAAATAATTTTGTACATATGGGTTCTTTTCCTTTATATTTAACTTTGGTATAAATGCCTAGTATGAACAGTTTAGTGACTTTTGGGGTAGTTTCAAACTTATTTCTAGATTGAGGTGACCAATTCATAGCTTCATTCACAGTACATTAGTGTGTCTACCCTCCCACAGCCCTTCCAAAATTTTCTATTTTCCTTTTTTCTTTCTAACATGAAGGGCATGAGGTGAAACATCAGTTATTTATATTTCTCAAAACTTTAGTCATTTGGAGCATTTTTTCACATGGTTCTTAAAAATCTGGAAGTCTTCCTTGAGAACTGCCTGTTTGGATACTTTGATTAATGGGGAAAAGGCACTTGTTCTTCAATTTTTTAATTATTTAAATCATATACTTTTCTTTTAATTCTAATTCCATGGATTTTTTAAAAATTGTATATAATCAAAATTATCCATTTAATCTTATGTCATCATCTCTATTTTTCTTTCAAAAATTCTCCTCCCACTTAGAGTTGTAAATAATATTTTTCTCTCCACCCCCCACCCTGCAGTTTGTCTATGATATAAGCTTTTATATATAGGCCACACATACACTTGAAGGTTGTGGGAAATGTAGTCTGGAAGCTAATTTTTGCCAGATAATTTTCTAGCTTTCCCAGAAAATCTGTTTGTTTTTAATAGTGAGTGTTTATGATGTTTTTGGCTTTATAAAACATTATAATAATTAATACATAAAATAATTTATTTTTCTGCATCTTGAATACCTAATCTGTTTCACTGATGAACTTTTCTATTTTTCAACAAGTATCAAATAATTTTGATTATTATTGCTTTCTAATATAGTTCAAGATTTGGTGCTGCTAAGACTTTTTCCCCCTACTTATTTTTTTTTCACTTGAGATTCTTGATCTTTTTTTCTTCTAGATGAATTTTGTTATTTTATTTTGTTCCACAATGTAATCCCTTGGTAGTCTGACTGGAATGACACTAAATAAATTGATTAATTTAGGTAATATTGACATTTTTAGTATACTTGCCTAGACCAATCATGAGCAATTTATCTCTCCAATTATTTGTCTTTATTTTTAAAGTGTTTTACAGTTACATACTATTTGAATATATAGTTCCTGTTTGTGTCTTATAAAGTTAATTCCCAGTTAACCTTAAGTCTTTCATTAAATTTTTTTTTAATTTTTAATTTGTGGAATAAAACAAGCATTTCCATAACATAACATAATTTTAAAAAAATATTGCATATGGAACTGTAAACCTATTATGTAAAAACTTGCTGTTCCTTTTAAATATATAATAAAGTTATGCAAATTTATTTTTCTTCCTTCCTCCCTACTCTAGAGATAGTTTCCATTATTTTTTTTAAATGTATTTTCTTTTTTTACCTCTTCCTACTGGGTTTTGTTGGTGATTAAAAAAAAAAACAGCCTGTTAGCTTTAATTGCATTGAATTGTATGATTTTGAGTGACTTAAGCTCTATATGACATAGGCAAAAACATAGGACTTCTCTGCCAAATTAGATGGTCTCTATCCTTGGAGTTCCTCACACTGATTCATACAGATTATTTGTACATTATCATTATATATAAATTATGTACACTGTAGTTTCTAATGTTTTCTTATTTTTTGATTGTTTTGGTTAAAGAAATGCACCTGCTATCCAGAACATAATGTATTTTCTGACCCAAGCAATTCTTTTTTCCACAGCAAATAACATATGACAGAGAAAAGGCATGATTACTCAATCCTCATTTTGTTTTCCTCTTAATCACCAAGGAGAATGATCTTCAAACAGGGAAGGGCTTAACAAACATAGTTAAGAGAAAAATGCAGCCAAAGTTGGGAGAAAAAATGAGAGAACATGTTGCTATTTTGAATTAGAACAAGTCTGTAGATCCAGACTAATTACACCCTAGGATACTGACAGAGCTTGATGTGATTGAAGAACTATTGCCAGCAATCTTTGAGAAATTATCCAAGTTCGAAAGTGTGGCAGAAAACCGGTGATTTTAGCAAATGTAACAATTTTTAAAAAGAGGGTGAAAGTGAATTTTGGAAACTATAGAGCATGAAGTTTGATGTGGATTTCTAGGGGGGAAATGGTAGAATGAGCTGTTACATAGATCATCTTGGGCACTTAGAGGAATCAATGGATGCCTATATAGATTTGATAAGAACAAGTCATGCTAAAGTAAATCAATTTCCTTTTTTGATAGAGTTGCTTGACTTGCAGTTCAGGGGGATACTAAAGCCATGGTGTATCTGGCTTTTGGCAAGACATTTGATAGTCATGCTATCCTTGAAGATAAGATTGAGAAATGTAAGATAATATCGCGACTTCTTAGCTGGTTAAACTATACCCAGATAGTATAGAAATGCAAATTTCAGTTCAATATTAGAAAGAAATTCCCAATAATTATTGAGGTTTGAAAATGAAATAGGCTGCTTCTAAAAGGAGTGAGCTCTCTATCAGTAGAAGTGTCCAAGTAGAATAGGGATTCTTAATCTTATTTGTGTCATGGCATTCTCTGGCAGTCTGATGAAATCAAAGAACCCCATTTCAGAATGGTGATTTTAAATGAATAAAATAAAAACATTGGGTTACAAAGGAAAGATATTTCTTTTTAAATAAGTTGCTGGACCCCAGGTTAAGAACTCTTAAAGTACAGCCTAGAGGATCATTCATCAGGTGTATGGCAGAAGGTGTTCCTACAGTGGATGGGAGCAGGGAGGAGATGACTAGATCTAATTCACTCCAGTAGCTTATACATTCCATGCAACTCTAATGTTTCCTAATTGTAGGGAAATACTAATTGCTATAGGCTGTGAAGATGAATCAAGTTTCCTTCTAACTCCTATTTTTCCAATTACATCTTACTTTATAAGTACCAAAATTCCTTTCACTAAAGCTGAGAGAGAGAGAGAGAGAGAGAGAGAGAGAGAGAGAGAGAGAGAGAGAGAGAGAGAGAGAGAGAGAGAGAGAGACTAACAGGAGAGGAGAGAAGAAGAGAGGAAGGGACATGAGGGAGGGGATAGGACAGAAGGGGAGAAAAGAGGATGGTAGAAAACAGGACGGGAAAGGAGGAGAGGAAAGTAGGAGGGGAGAAGAGGGAAAGAGATGAGAGGAGTCATTCGGGCTGGGGAAGTGAGAGATTAAGATAATTTTTGCACTGGGTAACCAAGTCGGTATGTGTCTGAGGCAGGTCTCCCTGAATCTAAGGCTGGCCCTCTTCACTATGCCTCTCTGCCTTATTGTCTGATACATGCTAGGAATGGTAAAGACAAATTTCAAAAATATACTTTACTTCATTTTTGCTTTTAGAATAAAGTACCACCTTGTCTCCATAATACCTTTATTTATATCACATCATAATGATAATGTCATTCAAGGTAAAATCATTTAAAATCATCATTGGTCATATCCGTTAGTTAAACATGTTTGTGTTGTCTTTTTTAATCTCCAAGATTAATAGTTTAAGGTTGACATTCAGTAATCTGAAGGAACAAACTACTACCTGTGTAAAATAATCTATTTAAAGAAGTATTTAAGAAGGCATTTAGAGAAGAGAAAGCAAAACTTGTTCATCACTAGAATAAACAAGGGACTAGAAAATTTCATTAGCACTTTCAGGTAAATGTGGCCAGGATGTGCTCCTAACAAAAAGCTCTAGAGAGGGGCAGGGGGGATGTATAAAGCACTTTGAAATTTAATATGCACTATTAAAATTTTCTTCATCACTTTCTTAAGTCTAAATAATCATCAGAAATAAATCAAGTCCTGATTTACAGCATTTGCTGATATCCAAGGTATAAATGATTATACTGAAATTTTAACAATTTAAAATTTAAACAAAAATTTAACTGGCTCTCCTGAGCCTATACTAACTACCCTAGCACATCATTATATAGAGTGCACTGTAGTTTTAGGTAGCTGGGTTTAGCTGGATCTCTCATGTAAACTTTAGAAATGAGCTTTATATGGGAGAGGGGTTGGTGAGCTCCAGCTGTATCAGATAACATTTTAAAATGCCACTTATAGGGGCAGCTAGGTGGCGCAGTGAATAGAGCTCTGGCCTTGGAGTCAGAAGGACCTGAGTTCAAATCCAGCCTCAGACACTTAACACTTCCTAGCTGTGTGACCTTGGGCAAGTCACTTAACCCCGATTGTCTCACCAAAATAAATAAATAAAATGCCATTTATATCTCTATCTATCTGTCTGTCTATCTAGATGACAGAAGGTAATGAACTTTTCAGATTGTCTCAGGTCTGGATTATGCTCAGCCTCAACTTATATGAGATTGTGATATATTAAGAATGTTATATGTTGTATTATAATGCAAGAGTAAATTACTGCTAATTCTGTACCTTGTAATTTCCAAATGAATTGACCTATTTTGCATATGCTTATATGCACATGTTATCTTCTCCTATAGAATATACACTCCTTCAGGGGAAGGACACTCTTTTTCTGCTTTTGAATTCCCCCTCACCTCCCTACCGGGAACAGTACCCAGCACACAGTGGGTACTTAATAAATGCTTGTTGAATGATAGATGAACACCTGAGTTATGCCTCAGCCAGTATGAAACTCAAGTGATTGTGAAAAAGAATCTTTCCCCTTTCTTTTATACTGAATCCTGGCCTTTGAAGGTCTTCAATAATCTCAGCTTTGAGATCAGGTGGAGCAGTTTTGCTAAAGTGACAGGTTTCTGTTAAAAAGTCCAGAAGTAACTCTCCATTTTCATTGCCTTCAATGAAACAATCTGATATATCCATTGTAGACAGAAGGTCAAAGCATTCATATTTAATTTCCAAAGTTTCCAGGGTTCGGGTGATGTCAGAAGATGACACATAGAGGCAGAGATCATTTTGGGGTAAGCGGGATCCATACTTTTTCCATAGTTTGTCCCAACCACTGGTTCCTATCACAGAGGAAAAAAAAAATGTTTAAGCATTGGATGACTGCAGGCAAAAGCACAATAAATACTTTGCCAATGCAAATGAACCATGAAGAAAGGTGACCTCTTCTACCTTATACAAAACTTCCTGAGGGTACTACATATCGTGGCACTGAAAGACTAGCTCAACTTGTCATTTAACTGTTTCATGATACAGGTGTGAGAGATAGGGTGATGTAGTGGCTAGAAAACCACCCTTGGCATTGGGAAGATATGTGTTTAATTCTTGACTTTGACAAATACTGGCTTTGTCACCCTGGGGAAATCATTTAACCTCTTAGGGCCTCAGACAACTCACAAAGATATAAAATAGTAGGGGGGATTTTCTTACTAGATAAATCACAGGTCTTGATGAAAAAAAATGTAAATAAGTTTGGTTTTCCCAACTAAATTATAAGCCCTTTCATGAGGGATTATGTCTTAAACATCTCTAAATTCCCCATAGTACTTATTCCAATACTATTGGTACACATAGGAAAAATTCAGTACATAATGAATGAATTGGATTGTGAGCCCAATGGGAATATATGTGTGTATACACATGAACATATTGATAGATACATATATATGTATATATATAAAACATATGTATGTGTATATACATATATATGTACATATGTGTATGTTTGTATGTACACACAGACATATCCACATGCATACCCCACGTTGTTGTTGTTCAGGTGTTTCAGTTGTGCCTGTATCTTCATGACCCCATTGGGAGTTTTCTTGGCAAAGATACTGGAGTGGTTCACTATTTCCTTCCCCAGCTCATTTTACATGTCAGAAAACTGAAGTAAATAGGATTAAGTGACTTGCCCAGGTTCACCTGGCTAGTAAGTGTCTGAGGCCAGATATGAACTCAGGTCTTCCTGACAGGCTCAGTGCGCCATCTACCCAGCTGTGTGTGCATGTATGTAAGTATGTGTATATATGTGTGTGTATAATTATATATTGTAATGTATATAATTATATATGCATATGTGTGTGTGTGTGTGTATATATGTGTGTGTGTGTGTTTATATGTTTGTGTATATGTTTGGATGTATATGGAAGACCTGACTGTGTGTATATATACCTATATGCATATTTGTGTGAGAGTGTGTGTGTGTGTGTGTCTGTGTGTGTATCCAAAATGTTGTAACCTAACACTTCATCTTCTTTTAGGTTGGATGAAAATGACAACATGGGGTAAAACCTAGCAAAGAATTTTTTGATTTGAAAATTTCTTGAGAAGCCACACTACCCCTTTAGATCCTTTTACCCCCTGCTTTTACAGCAAATGTCAAAATTCTATTGAAAAAGCAAGTGAAATAAAATGAGAATTATTTTCTTTTTCTTAGTAGTAGAGTCCTTAAAGGTTATCTAGTCAGCTAGGTGGCACGGTACATAAAGCACAGGGCCTCAGGAAGACCTAAATTCAGACATTTACTAGTGGTGTGACCTTCGGTATGTCACTTCACCTCCACCTGCCTCAGTTCCCTCATGTGTAAAATGGGGATGATAATAGCACTTACCTTCCAGGGTTGCTGTGAGGATTAAATGACCTAATAATGCTAAAGTGCTTAGTACAGTGCATAGCTTATAGGAAGCATTAGGTAAATATTAGCTATTATCTGGCCCGATACCCTCATATTATAACCGAAGAAACTGAGTCTCAGAGAGGTGAAGTCACTTGCTGAAGGTCATAAGGCAAGTTAGTAAAACCAGGAACACTGCCCACATCTTTCTGATGAGTTATGTTCTTCTCCTTGCCTCCCTGTTATATCTGTTGTACTCATCATTATAATTAAGCTATATGATGTTCAATTTTTTATAATAATAAAAACTTTAAATGAGCTCCTGCTCTGAGTAATGTGCTGTAAGAAAAACAGAGAAATATAATGCATGTTCTAGTCCTTAAGGAGCTAGCTTGAGATAAGCCAAAAAGGTGAAAACAACAGTAGCTAACATTTATTTTAGCATATTAAGGTTTGCAAAGCAATTTACATATATTAGCTTAGGATAATTCAGGATGGGTGAAGATAACAAATCAATTCAATTTAACAAATACTTATTAAGTCCCTACTATATGCAAGGCACTGCATTAGGAAAGCACTAGGGATAGAAAGATAGATATGATACAACTTGTGTTCTCCGGGAGTTTATAATTTTATGGGAAAAGAGATGCACATAATCATGGAAGAGTTTAGTAGTAGGAATAGGATTTGTAATTAGAAAACCAGGATTCAAATTCCACTTGCCACTTGCAAGACCTTGGTTGAGTCTCTTGATCTTTCTCATCTGTGAAATTAGAAGGTTGGACTGGCTGACCCCTAAAGCCCCTTCCAGCTCTTAACAATAAATATAAAGGAGGGGTCCAGGTAAAAGGGGGGAAGTCCTTTTGCATCATGGAACAGCTAAAAACCTAATTTGGACTTAGAAGGATAGGAGGGACTTTGAAAACTGGAGAACATGTCAAGGAGAAAGATGTCCATTTCAGGAAATAGGGGATGCTATGAGTAAAGAGGTGAAGACAAGAGAGGGTAAGTGGAGAATTGGGGACAGAAAGTAAACCAAGTTGGTTGAAATACTGAGTTCTCAAAGAGAAGGCACATGAGTTCAGGCTGTAAATAATTTGGAGCCAAATCATCTAGGACCTCAGTCTCCAGGATGACAACCAGAAAGATACTACAAAATTGTGTTTAATTGTTTAATTTCCAAAATGAATGACATAGCACCGAGTTCCAAGTAAGGAAAGACTGTTTCATGATGGGTAGAATTGCATGTGAGGAAGGTGAGGAAGGGAAAAACCCTAAATTCAATGAAGGACAACATGGAAATGCAACTGTCTTCAAAAAGTTTTCATTCAAAAGCTAGCTGTTTATCTTTCTGAATAGAAATCTATCTACAAACAAGATTTTACAGGAAAATAAACACTGAAGTGGTTGAAAATGATATTAGTGACATTTATATATATATATGTGTATGTATATATATATATATATATACATATATATATATATATTTTTTCCACCTGGAAGAAAATGAGAACCAAGCACTAGCTACAGAAATGTGGCTGGTGTCAGTGTTCTGTGACTCAGTACCACTTCTGAGATGAGCTGTATACACATTATACACTCCCTGACTGATGTGTTATTATAATAGCTCTCAGTGGGTGCAACTATGGTGTTACTTTTGTTTTCAACGTGCTATATGCTGGATTTCTTTTTTTTAATTGCATTAAAAATAACACAATGTAATTTGCATATTTCCTCAGACAGCTAAAAGAGAAGAAGAAAAGAAAAATGTAGTCTTCTTCTTCTAGTCTACTTTTAGTTTACAGTATCCTGGAATTTCAGATTTGGAAGGGATTTAAGAAAATGTCTAGGCCAATCCATGCCTGAGCAGAAATTCCCTCTCTACAACATCTCTGACAAATGGTCTAGTTGAAGAGTCTGGTGACTTGAGGAATTTATCTAAAGTGCTTTAAAAAGAAAATGGAGGTGGGGAGGAGAAACCTGACCACATACATACACCATTAGTTCTCACAGAAAGTGGCAGATAAAGCACAGGAAAAAGAATGTAAGTAGAGAAGCAAAATAATTTATATGAGACACTACCAACAAGATCAGTAACAAAACTCATGGCCTCATATGTCTCTACATAAATACACAGGTATGAGCAATAAAGAAAGTGAAACACATCTTAATGCAAAGAGGAAAACCTGACCTTGTAGGGACTACTGACACTTGGTGGGTTGTGCCTCCTAGCTGTAATATAGCAACAAAAAGATATACCTTATTTAAGAACAGATTAAAAAGGCAATAATTAATAGTACATAATCATACAATGCACAAAGGAAGGACAGAACATTGTGGACAGGACATTTTGTCTGAAAATCGATGTGGGGAAAATATTAACAATATTGCAATGGAAGTATAATACAGACCACCCTGCTCAAGGGAGAAAATGAATGAGTTCAGGAAACAAACCTATCAGGAAAGTAAATTTTAGTACTGATAGGAAACATGAATAATATAAGTAAATGTTGGAATCTGTCTTTAATAAAAATAAAGTAGCTAAAAGTCTTATTTGTTGTGAAAATTATTACATTCTTCAAGGTAGAATAAGCAACAAAGGGAAATTCTAGAACTGATTGCAACAAATAAGAACTATTTGCTGAAGAATGTTGGGAAACTGGGGAGAAAATGTCATGATATCTTAAGAGTTCATGTTATACATGTGGGAAAGGAAGCTGATATAGTCTCAAGTGTACTCCACATTTGGGGAGAGTGGGTTCAGGTAAAGGATACGTAGCATTTTATGGCCTAAAATTCCACAGAGGAAGTCAGCTCAAGCTGAATGGAGTTGTCTCAGGAAAGAATGCTTATGATAGAAATAGAGGAACTGTAAAGAGAGACAAATGTGCATATTACAAGGAATTTACTGACCAATCTGTAGTTTTAAAATATTTGTTTAAAAGAAGGAAGCAAACATGAAGTAACTGAGGATAAAAAAAAATCTAGAGTGGACTGGTCTGATAAGAATAGTGTCAAGACAATTCCAAAGGACTCATGATGAAAAATGCAATCCACCTCCAGAGAAAGAACTGGTATTTTTGAATGGAGATCAAAGCATACACTTTTACTTTCTTTATTTTTTTTTCATTTTTTTTGTCTGTGTTTTCTTTCACAACAAGATTAATACGGAAATATGTTTTGCATGATTCATATGTATAACCTATATCAAATTGCTTACTGTCCAAGAGATGTGGGGCAAGAGGAGATAGAGAATTTGGAACTCAAAATTTAAAAAAAAAAGAATGTTAAAAATTGTTTTTACATGTAATTTGGAAAAAATAAACATTATTCATAAAAAAGAATACTATCAAGAGCATTAAATGCATAATGAGCCATCAATGAATGTAGAAGGAGGGAAAAGGTACATCAGGCACAGGATAAAGGTCAATGAAAGGTTAGGACTAC